CTTCCGGGTTACCGCGCGGCCGCCGCCGCCCCGGGCCCGCGCGGTGGGGCTCCGGGCTGGGATGCAGCCGCAGGGTATGGCATTTGGGGCTTCTGGAACGGGACTCGCGGATATGCCCCTCTGCGAGAGCACAGAAGTCTTCGGCAGCCTGGGAAGTGCAGGAATGTGTCCTGAGTCCCGAGACAGACTGGAGCTCTCCAGTAACTTAGAGACCAGAAGCGGGGCGCCCGGCTAAGGGGTCTGCAAACTGGGCAGCAGGGCTAAAGCGCAGAGGGGACCATAGAGAGGCTGTGGGCACCTTCACCGGCCTGGGAAGCGTGTCCCGAGGTCGGCAAGAGCTCTCCAGCAGTGCAGTGGCCCAGAAGTGCCATGCGCCGTGCTTAAGGGTCTGCACACTGGACAACTGGGCCGTTCTCAGAGGGTCATGTGGGGGGGGGGCATCCTTCCGGAGGGGCCTGTTTCCCTTGCTTCCTTCTCGCTGACATTCCCTTCACCAAATCTAAGTTTCCGTCATGGATGGTCTTTCTTGAAAATCTACTGAAAGGAAAATTAATGAGTGGAATAGAGTTGGAATGAACCCAAAATGTTTGGCCCTTGGTGTCTGAACTGCTTTATGAACTGCCTCTTCCTAAATTCTCAGTACCATGAAGGGTGCTGGTGTTGTGGGATGGGATGGATAGTCATGGAGTATTTCCCTGTTGCATGAGGCTGTTTCTGCATCTGCAGCAGTGGTGTTAAGTTTCTAGGGAAATGATTCCACTTTTAGTGTATCCCGTTTTGTAGAAAACTCGGCTATTATAAAGGGTTCCTACTGTATTTAGCAATAGACTATGTTGAGGTTGTCATTTATAGTCCCAGGTTGCAGCAGATTTTCTGGTAGTAACTAGGTGTCCTTTGCTGCCCTAGTTTCTCTAGAATTGTTGTTTCAGTTCCAGGATTTTTAGGTGGCCTTAGTCATGAAAGATTTCTTATCCTCTGTAATCTTGGCAGTCAGCTTTACTTGATTTTTTTTTCAAATATAACTTTCAGTGCCTTGAAACTGTGTGTCCTCTGATGCCAATTACATAGAGCCTTCTATACTTTCCTTTTCACTCTGGATTTGGCAACTTAATTCTCTTTCAGGAATTGACAGTAAATTGCCTTCCTAGACTGCCAAGCAGGGCAGCTAGAGGCATGGAAGTCAGCAGCATCACCACTCTGGACTCTTTTTTTTTTTTTTTTAAATTGTGATTTGGATGAAAGTTTACAGAACAAATTCACTTTCCATACAGCAGTTCGCATATACTTTGTCTCATGACACTGACTCCAATTTACCACGATGCAACAGCTCCCCTTCCACTTCCTCCCCATAGTTACCACTTCCCTGTGTCCTTCCCTCCATGCACTCCTGCCCGCCCCCCAGCCATCTCCCTGTGCATACACAGCCCTTCTATTCTCCCATGATTATTCTCTCCAAGGAGTGTATCTACCTAGTGTAAATGTTCACCTCATATGTCTATCTTTTGTTTGGCTGGAAGCCACAGGAATGGATTCAATTCCAGACCTGAAGGACAGCTAGGGACCATAGTATCAGTGGTTCCATCAGGCTCTATCAGACCAGCAAACCTGGCACTCTGGACTTGTTTTAAGTCATAGGTGTACAGAGAAGAACTTTAACTTTTGCTATGGCATTTACAGAATTTACAAAATTTTGAGTGGTCTCAGTCTGCTAGGGCTGCTTTCTTCACAAATCAGATGGCTTTAAACCATGGAAATGTATTGTTTTACAGTTCTGGAGGCTAGAAGTCCAAATCAGGGTATCAGCCATGCTGATTTCTTCTACAGACTCTGAGACAGAAACAGTTTCATGCCTCCCTCCTAGCTTCGGATGGCTCCTGGCAATCCCTGTCATTCCTTGGCTTGTAGATGCACCTTCACGTAGCTGTCTTTTCTTTGTGTCTGTGTCTTTTTTCCTGTTTTATAACGATAGCACTCAGATTGGAATATGACCCATCCTACTCCAGTATAACCTCATGTTAATTTAACTGATAACACCTTCAAAGACACTCTTTCCAAACAAGGTCACATTCACAGGTATCAGCGTTGAGAACTTAAGCATATCTATTGGGGGACACAGTTCAGTCCATAACAAGTACCTTCATCCAAAAGAATTCACCCAGATGAATTACTTATATCATTAACTTTCAAGACCTTTCCAAAGTTTATATTGCAAGACTAAAGAATAATGTAGAATCTGCAAAATACTGCATAATGTGGATGAACTTGGAGGACATTGTTGTTGTTGAGTCGGACCTGACTCATAGTGACTACTCCTTGGGTTTCCGAGGCAGTATCCCTACAGAGGATTGCCCCATCTTCCTTCAGAGGAGTGGCTGGTGGGTTTGAACCACCAGCCTTCTGGTTAGTAGTCAAGTGCTTTAGGCACTATGCTACCAGAGCTCTTGGAAGACATTTTGCTGAGTGAAACAAGTCAATCACAGAAGGACATATATTGTATTAGTTCATTATTGTAATAAGTCAAGGAAAGGTTTATATGTGGAAGGAAACTTTCTTTGTTGGTTACCGGAGGTGGAAGGGGAGGAGAAGGAAACTGCAAAAAAAAAAAAATAATAATAAATAATAATGAAACCTTTTCAGAGTTTAAAAGGCTTTTTCTTCTCCCCAATTTATTAAAGGTATGCACACATGGTGAAATTATCCACCTAAAGCCAAATTTTTAACTTCATAGGATTGTTTTTACAAATGTTTTATAACTTCCTACATGTGGGTATAGGAGCTCTGGTAGCATAGTGGCAAAGACACTTGCCTGCTAACCAGACAGCTGGCGGTTCAAACCCACCAGCCACTCCTCGGAAGGAAGGTTGGGCAATCCTACTTCCGTAGTGATACTGCCTCGGAAACCCAAGGAGGGGTCGCTATGAGTCGGGGCCGACTCGACGGCACATAACAACAACAACAACAACATGTGGGTATACTTTACTTAGATACTTTGTGTCTTGTATTAAGCATATAGTTAATTCTCATGCTCACAGCACTTACTATGTTAAACCAAAACCAAACCCACTGCCACTGAGCTGATTCAGATTCATAGCAATGCCCTTGGGTATGGTAGATTGCCCAGTCTGCCTTCTGTGGAGTTGCTGGTGGGTTTGAACCGCCAGCCTTCTGGTTAGCAGTCAAATGCCTTAGGCACTACACCACTAGAGCTCCTTACCCACTATGTTAGGTGCACAAAATGGACAAGACATCTCAGGTACCTTACAATCAAATTAGAAGATTCAGAACACTTTCTCCTGTGCCTTTAAGGAAAAAATAAAGAAAAAGATTAGCTTTCAAAAGCCGAGGACAAAGTCTGGAATGCTGGCTTAGTGATGATATTTCTGTGGACTGCTAAGGTGATAGCCAACTGTGTTACTTCCTAATGATCTAATTCAGAACAGGAATAGAACTTTTGGAACTGAGATGAAAGAATGTCTAATACACCCCTTAGTCAATCATTCTCAAGTCTCATTCCCCTCACCTGTCTTTTGAGAAGAGTTGAGTAGCTCACAGTTCATGAAAGCAAGCCAGAATGAAGTCTCAAGTGCATGTCTTCTGTGCTGTTGATGGAAAAGACAGATGTTATATTCCAGATGGCCAGTAGCAGTGTTAACATTGTTAGGAAAATTAAGAAGCCAGATATTTGATTATTTATAACCTGCCTCATTGCACAAAGGATTTATGGAGTGTACTTCAGTATACTACTACTAAATAAGTAAAAGCCTGACATTTATTTTTATTCTATTAGAAGCTACACAGAAAGTGGGCTGAAGAAGCAATTATTCCCCCAGGAAATCATGTTGGTTCAGGTTTGAGTGAATGTTAAATTGAGCGAGCCCCTGAAGTTTTGTGCCATGGAGCAGAGTTTCCCAACTGTTCTTGTGTCATGGCCCATGTAGGCAATGGTAATGCCTGTGTGGTACAGTGAGATGGGAAGATGGATTACCTAGGGATGCCAGCTGCCCAGAGGGCTAAGGGGTTCAGTATCTCAGTATACCTCTATCACAGCCACATGTGTGCCAGTGGACCATGGCACATTGGTTGGGGAAACTTTAACATACAGCACCGAAAGAAAAATACAATCAAAACCACAATAAGATACTATTTCATACCTATTAGGTTGGCTAATATACAACACTAAAAAATATATATATGAAATGTTGGCAAGGATCAGGGGAAATTGGAATCCTTACTCATTGCTGGTGGGAATACAAAATGGTACAGCTGTTGTGGAAAACTGTGGTGGTTCCAAAAAAAAACTAAAAACAGAACTACTTTATGACCCAGCAATTCTACTCCTAGGTATATACCCCAAAGACTTGAAAGCAGAGACTCTAACAGATAGTTTATTGTACATGAAGTTCATTGA